CTTTCCCTTCTGTAAATACACCACCTACAAAACTTGTTCCTGACATATACCACTCCATGCTGTAACTTACCTTTTTTATTTCAACGGTTCTTAGTCCCTGTATTTCAGAGGCTGCTGTCAAATGAATTAGGAAAAAGGTTAAACTAGCATTTTTAGGAAACTTATCCATTAAAGCTATCCAAACTACTATGATGATTCTAGCTTTTTGCTGGTTTACTACAGACATATGTTTTAAGCAGATTTTGAAAGTGGCTGTCATTACATTAATAGGATTGAAACACTTATAGAATGGGTGAAAATGTCATTCATTCTCTCAATTTAAGTAACTTTTGGAATAAGACTGCTAAGCATGCTCAACTAGAATAGAAAAAACTATCATTTGCTAGCAGTATTTTGATCAGAAGTAACTTTGTTCTAAATTTGAGCATGAGACAGCTATTCCACATCTATTTTAATTTAACTATACACTATGTGAATTTCTATGAATGAGACAGCTTGACTGAAGATGTATTTAGATTAAATAGAAAATTACATCTCAACTTAGATTCTCAATATTTAAACTGCTGGTATAACAAGATGCTAGTTTCCTTTACAAAAGCTATTCAAAGATATATATATATATATATAATGTTCTGTACAATAACGACCCCTGTAGCGTTTTAATGACTAAGGAATCATTTTCAGGCCTCCAGCACATAATGACAACATTTGAGAGAAAGTGAAAGATCTCAGCTACCCATTCACAATGTATAAAATTCTGAAAGCACCAAAGAAACCTTACCGGTATTCTTCTTTGGACCGCTTTCAAAGACCTCAGGTGCACTGGACGCAGAAACTGGGAAACTGAACGACGAGAGACTGCCACTTCCTTCACTGACCTAAATACAGTGTTAGACTGGGATTAGAGAGCAGCTTCAGATACCCAACTGATAAAAGTAAAACTGTAACCCACTGTATTCAGTGGATTTTGCTGTATTTTACTTTTTCTGTGCCCAGTTAAAGACGACACAGTGAACCTCCACATATTTCTTGGTCACTCTACAGGGCTCCTTGTTTGAAACACCACTAGACCAACAGAGATTGCATGACTACAACCCCAGGCAACGCTTTGAAGCGCTGCTTCTGAGGGCCAGACTGGGTCCTTATATCTGCACCTTCCACTACTCAAGGAGATCTTCTGGTGCAGCAGTCAGCCACGACTATCAAGGTAGGGACAGAATACAAAAGATGGGTCTTTATACATCCTCATGTGTACTCTCACATTCACCCACTCCAACAGCTAAAACTAAGATCAGGCTCTCCACTCAGTTTCACTTGGACAATTTTCAGAAAGATTTTCACTAGACCCGCAGGGCAATGTGAAGGAACAACATGGCTCCCAGTTTGCTGACTGTGTAATTACAGACTACTCGAAACATTCAACATTGTGGGCTTCTTGACAACTTCGATTAGGACCGCCCAGAGCCTGCATGTTTTCATCCTCTTTTACGTTACTTGTTTTGAAGAGAGACCAGCATTTCAGTCTTATCCAGCCTTAACCTGCTCACTTGAAACTGTTTCATTATGATTTAAAACTATTTATCTTCAGTACTTGATGATCTGCATACTCAGTTTATAACCAGAGAAAGTGCTAAGGTAACTTGCAAGCTCTCCGAAACATAGCTTCTACTGTAGAGACTCACGATGTGAGCTGCTACCACATGAAGGATACATTCAAATGCAGAAACTTCAGTCAGTTTGTAACACTCCACCATTAGACCAACAATATAATAAATTAACTTGAGAAATAAAGAGTGCAGGTATCATGCTTCTGATGACCAAGACTATGGTAAGAATATGCAAGGAGTGGAGACATTCACTAAGCGTATTGAAACAATACTCTGTTGCATGCCAAGCACACCTAAAGCAACAAAGAACTTTAAAGTCCGCTCCAACTTCTTCTGGGACTGATCAGAATCAGAGGACTCTGCTTCCCAGGTTGGAGTAATGAAAACCAGATTAGGCAACATAGTAAAGCCATTTCTGGAAGATGTTTTGGGCTGGATCATGTCTTTAACAGATAGAATATGCTAAGGTGAATATATAAAACGGTTACCAAAAAGCTGCAAAGTAGATAAAAACTACTTTTCTTCATCTTGGATCAGGTATGTGGAAAATCACTGTCATCACAAAACCAATTCTTTTTATTCGCTTTCACTATTTAACCACATTTTATTTCTTCCAAACTAAACAGTTTTACAGTTACATACCTGGCTGCTCTGGGATGTTCTCCTCTCGGAGTGGAATGGACCAGCTTTTATTCTTCCAACCTCTAGTCTTACCGTACCTAACGAACACTAAAGAACCAGTCACGTAACACATCTCTTCCATCTACAACATTAAAGCCTATGGCAATATTTAAGTCACTTATGAGATGGTGGAACAGGAAAAAAACACAGACAGAGCGGAAAATAACATGGCAGGAACAGAGCCACAGAAACTAAGTACACCGTGATATTCGTGATATTCACTAGTGAGCAGGGTACTTTTTAGACTAGCCAGTATTACAATACAGATGTGAAAATTACCCAAGAAGGCTAATTCTGTTACTTTTCGCTCAACAGCCAGTAGTTTTGGCTTCTCAGTTGTAACATCAACATATATTTTCAAGACAGCATTTTTTCAAGGAATAGTGAAACTGTCTGTTTTCATCATAAGCACTAAAAATAGTAAAACACCTCAAAGTATTAATCAGTATTTCTGTTGATATGACTCAGAACATCATATTTAAACTGGCAGTTTAGTCATCTCTCTCCCACTCTTGAAATTATCCGTTACTCTGAATTAAAACCAACGTAACTAAAGAAATCCTGGGCAGGCGGTTTTCCAAACATCCACCTGTAGTTCGAGTGGCCTTTCTACATCTGACTCCCAACAGGAAGCTGGATGATATGGACTGTTGGCACATTTGAAAACCCTTCACTACTCTTTAAGCTTTTAATTACAAGTATCCAAATATCTGCATAAAACGCATGTCTCGGAAGAAAATTCACCCTGCAAGCAAGTATCTCGAAACCAAGATATTATGTTGATTTTGGAAACAGATAGGTAATGTTATTATCACAAACAACACTTAGAAAATTGGACTTCAAAATAATACAAGTACTGTCAAAAGAAGACCGCCTATCTGCAATATATTCAAGTATAGAAATTTCAAAGTTATGTCTATTTTGCTTTTCCTTCTTTCTTCCACTGAGAAGTTGTTAGTATGAACTCCTGTATCTAAAAAACTTAATATTACGTAAGTTTATCTTTATTTATCATGCTTCAGCTGTATTACCCTAAGAAAGGATCATGTATTTGTCAGAAAACTGACAGTAAGAAATAGACCACCATATCAAAACCAACAACAGGACATACCCATTCAAATACGGTTTCCACATCTCATATCCTGGTTGCTAGTCTCTTAGAGGTGACACTAAAGAGATTTATTACTAAATTGCTTTTTAGCTTTTAAATAATGTTGACTTCTCTATGTCCTGGGAAAGACTTGATGAAAGCTCAGGCAAAAGCATTCTCTCCTGCTTGTATGAACTGACTCCTATTAAACCATACAGACAACTCTTATCCAAAATGGAAAACTGAGGAAGTAATCTATGTACCTAAAATTACCACATCCTCACATAAAACGCAAACCCACAAATGAGACTTTAAAGCTATAAAGTGTGAAAGTGGGAGGTAATACTTTCCAACTGAACTTGTGAATAAATCAATTTACATTTAGCTTTATTACAGCTTTCTCCCTCTTCCTGAAATCTCCCGTTTGATAAATCCGTGAGTCAAATAAGTGGAAAAAATGATCAGCTTTTCACATGTTTTAGGGATAATTAAAAAGAAACACTGCAAGAACAGGCAGAATTCTCAGCCCGACGACACATTCTAGTGGTCTCATGCTACTTAAAATTCGATTTTCCAAATATTGTAAATAATTTTCTAGCAAAATACATTTCAGGCAGTTCAAGATCTTACTCTCACAAATGAAAATAGAACCGATACTTGAACTAAAAATGGTGACTGTCCACATGTGAGTGATCGTGCTTTAATCCATTTATACTGCATGAACCAAACAGAATCATTAACAATAATGTATCTGAGGTATTTTAAAAGCCTCATTTCTCAGGGCTAGGACAATTAATTACAAGTACTACTGAGTGGGATGAAATATTTAAAACATGAATATACAAATGATAAGTGGGAACTAAGAATCTTTAATTAGATATTCCGAAATGCTTGCCAAAATGAAAGAAACTTTCCACATAAAATGGCATTTTAATTTAGAGCAGACATAGAAGTGCAGCATATGAAGAAGAAATGTACCCTCCTTAGATAAAATGAAGTATCAGGTAAGAATGGAAAAGTACTATTACGCCAGAAGAGGACATTAACGAGTTCACTGCCAGAACACAGACCCAGTTCTGGCATTTTCACTTACAGGCACATGTTGAAAATATAGAAAAAGCACTCCTACCTCCCCTTTCTAACTCCCTTCCCTTGCCAGATAAAAAAAAAAAGGCAAAAAAAGAGAAAAAAAAAAAGAAGCTTAAGGAACTAATCAAGACCTGGAAAAAATATACCTTTGAATGTGAGTGCAAAGAACTACGATCATGTGTCTATGTATCCAAGAGTCAGCCATGAGTAGTGGCTGTTAAATTTTTTCCAGTGGAACAGTTTTCCATTGGAAAATGCTGACTCAATGGAATCCTTACCATGCAGCAGTAATGTCTCAAAACCCTGGGTGGAAAACAGACAAGCCAGCTGACCAGCTGGACTTCCTGCCAGACCACAGGAAATGTTGCATATCTGACTTCATTCTGACTTGGAAATAGGGGGAGGACATCAGAAGCACAAAATTTATGAGAACAGAAATTCTGGTTCCAAACACTGCAGATAGGAGTTTAGTTGAGTTATCTTTGTGAGAAAACAATTTCTTATACTAGATGCCTTGGTCACTGGAAAATGCCTTACAGTATTTAACGGATGTAAGGTGACGCTAGACATTCACATGCATCTCTTTTTTTTTTTTTTTTTTTTTTTTCTGTGTAAGTAATCATTTTTTGGCACAACTACTCAGATGAACTCTCTATCATCTAAAGTCAGCTCTGTGTAGCTTTCTAAAAATATGAGACGGTTAATCAGTTGAGAAAATACAGTGTTAAGTTTTAGGTTGTTCTAGGTAAGGGTGTTCTGTTGCCCTATAAACATTTGGCACTCTTCACCACCACTACTCCCATTTTGATCAAGAAAAGTATAAAAATCTGAATATACTCTAGACTTCAGGAAGCTTAAATTTGGATCCACAGCTCATTCTCAGTCTCATCTCAATAACAGTCTGAACTCACTCTGAATAGAACAAAAGCCTTCAGAAAACGTGGATCTCAATTCTCCACTTTTACCCGCCTTCTGTTTTCTCAGTACCTTTAGCAAAGCTGCAACAGCCTCCTGGTTAGCATTTCGAACATCTTCTCCATTCACTGCCAATATCTGGTCTCCTTGCATCAATCTCCCATCCATATCTGCTATTCCTCCTTTGACGATGTCTGACACAAACACACCCGTGTCATTTCTGCGAACACACACGTGGATTTTGCATTACAGTATTGTTTGAGGGTCATTTTTATGGTTTGCTGTTGGCAACACGATAAACATTGTCTCATTTTTCTGTTGAGTAATGTTGGGCTAGTTCCTCCAGGAACCGCCAATTAGTTTAGGCACAAGAATGACATGTAGGCCTTCAAGCTCACAGGATCTGAGCACCAGACGCCAAGAGAAATAGGAGCATGCCCAACAAGTCCCAGACATTGACTCTCCAGGTACCTTCATACCTTTTCCCAACAATACTCAGGCCAAGGCCTTTGCCAGGCTTCTTTTGGAGCTCTATATTGAGTACATCATACATGTCTTCCTCCTTGTACTGGGCCTCATCTCTATACACAGTCAGACGGACTTTTTGGGGAGTCTGTCGGAGAACATTTATCGCTTCATCATGTGTGGCATTCCTGAGATCAATTCCATTCACCTGCAATAAAAGCATACAATGATGACGTGTGCAGGACTTTCCAACAGATAAACAGGAGATGCCTAGCTATCAAATGACAATAAAAGTGACCAAGGAAACCACCACACCTCTAATATCTGATCCCCAGCCCACAGTCTCCCATCTTTAGATGCTGCTCCTTCTTCATAGACTTCATGGATAATGATTGCTCCCTGTGGACAAAAAAAAAAAAAAAAAATTTCCATGTTGAAAGAACATGCCCATACTTTGAACCAAGACAAACTCAAAATTCCTACTATAATTCATCAGTAATAAGCAAAATAGTCAGATGTATGATGAACAAATTACCAAAATATTTAAGAAGTTCACTTATATTTTCAATTTAAAAGTGCTTTTTTTTTATTTTTCTTCCCCCCGCCCCCAACTGGTATCTTTGGTGTCATTCTATAAATGCTACAGAAACAAACAAAGGAAAAAATTTCTTCTATCATACATTTTAATGTCATTATTGTTATTTCACTTGAGTGACACACACACATATCTTTCCAACCAACCAGCAAAGTGTCTGCTCCTCCAACAATGCTCAGACCAAGACCAGTCCGCCCTTTGGAGATATCAATGGTTGTTTCACATCCAGGAATGATGGGACAAGTAGCTGGGTCAGAGGCTAACGTGGCTGGAGTTGAAGATCTGCTTGTGTCTAAAACAACAATTAAACATCCTGGTTACAGTAAGAGGGCTTGATATTAAGAAAGTTACTTTAAAACATGATTTTGAGAGAGCACTGACAACTCTACAGCAAGTTGACCTTCAGAGAACGATGCTGTCAACTCTCCCTTGCCCTCAGACAAGTACTATCCTCTGGTTTTAATCGCAGTTGTCCTGGATCACAGTCTGGATAGCCAAAAAAGCTATTTGGTTAGATACTATTTAGGATAGAATTTAATTTAAGCATCTACACTATGCAACTATGCAATGTAGATCAGAGATAAATGAAGTTCATAGTATCTATTAAGTACATGGATTCAAGGATGTCAGCCGTGCACTTTTGCAATGGGACGAGTCAAGGTCCATCTAACTAAATATTCCATCTCAGACTCAGATTTGTACCACGAGAAAGAACGTTACGTATGAATCAAATACAATGGTAAAAAATCTTAAAGATCCTAGGAGGGGATATTGTGTAGCAACTAAAGGAAAGAATCAGCAACCAAACCATCTCAGATGTTCATTACGTCTACCACTGATGTCCTCTAGGCTTTAAAAAGATGGCAAAATTACATTTCTTCCAAAAGGTAAAAATGGGCATCTAAATTCTTTTGAGACATTTTAAAAGGGCACTGATTAAAAGAAGTTCCACTGAAACTAACAGAGGACTTGACCATTAAGAAACATGCGTTTATGTTGACAAATACTTAGGTACAATGTTAGCAATAGGTCCTGCTGGAACAGTAAGCCTCAAAACTAGGAGTCTCGGCCTCTGAAGGGAACCAGAAGGGCAATTAAGACGTTTTAAGGGCAAACTTTCTGAGCAAGTATAGAACAGGTTACCCTACTGCTCTGGTTTGCAAGTTCTTTGTGTGTATGATGAACAGCTGCTCCTGCTCAGTTTGAGCTAAGCAGAGGAGTCAGGCTGAAGTATAATAATTCTGTCCAGAAGTCATAAAACGTACATGAAATACATGAACTGAAGAATTGGAAGGGAGTCCAGGTATACAAAGTTGACCTTATCTAGATAGGTGCATCCGTATTGGGCCAAAACTGCCTACACAGCACTGCTGGAAACACTGAAGCTGGGTAGAGATGTAACAGAGATCAGATCAACAGGGAAAAAGTACTTACGGATGGGTTGCTTATTTGCCAGGAGTCTGTGCAGAGAAAACAAGGTGCAGGGGCAGCAAAAAGGTGAGCTTGGTAAAACAAAGCTGGGGAATAAATTATAAAATCAGGTGGAAAACCAAGAGGAGGGAGATCTTCCAACGGGTGGGTTGTGGATGCCTTTAAATGGTAGTGAAGCCAAGTTGCAACCACAAATCCCCAGGACACTGGAAGAAGCATTGCTGAAATCTCCATCAGGTCTTTATCCCTAAGATTTACTGTGGCGCAGTGGAGATGGAAGGGATAGACTTGGACAAAAGCAATAGATTTTAAACTAAAACTAAATGCAGAGGGGAAGAAACTAGAAACATTACCTCGTAGGTCTCCCGTGTGTTTCTTAAGATGTCTTTATAGTAGTATAATTGCTTATCAATACTACTGCTAGTAATAAGCAACAGAAATGTGATTCTAACACTTGCAGTAACGTGCATATAAATTAACTGTGATGTGCACATTAATTAAGTTATTATCAGCTTCTCAGTAGGATGTTGCTTAACCATCATCAATCAGTTGGGGAGAGTCTAACGTGGCTAGTCATAAACAGCAAGACAATCCCAACCATTCTCCTGTTCGAGGAAAGATGGCACGACTTTTCTCTCGTGTTTAAAGGAATGCTTCCCACTTTGTTCTAGACAACCATTACAGAAGCACCTGCCGCACAGCCTTTGGGAGGCAGGAGGAAATCCCTCCATCCTCCTGCCTCTACAACAGGCCAGTGGGAAGGCAAGAGCTTGGCAAGGCAAGACTTTTACCAAGTCTTCAGTGTGGAGCCTCACTGCTTTACTTAGACAGATCTGTAATCCGAAAGTACTAGAAAATGCAACTCATAAGACCGCTGAGAAAATCTGTTTACAAGCTGGGTCTTCATTTTTATGTGACAATCCCAGTCAAGACAGACACACAAGGAGAACCTTACTTTTGACTGCTTCTGGTTCTGGTGAGCTGGAAGAGGGGGCAGCCGCTGGCGGCTGCATATTCCTCCTCTCTGCTGAGGCAGTGCTGGAAGGGACTGGTGCTGTAGTTGGGCTATCCGCCTCGGTTGAGTTGATTGTAAGCCTCACCATAGTTTTGGATGTCTTCAGGAGACTAATAAACTGAACGATAAAAAGAAAAGGTGGCAAAGAGTGTAAGTGGACTGTTCAGTTGTAAAACAAAAACAAAGCAGAAGAACTGTTCTGCAAACGGAGCTACGAGTCACAATCCTGCCAGTTTTCTTAATAATGAACAAGGACAAATATTGATGTTTTCTATAAGAAATAGCAGTAGTATGGGCCAGATCTGGCTGATGTTAATCAAGTAGCTTCCAAGCATCTTCGCCTAACTATACCAGATGGGAATGTGGCAGTCTTTCGATAGCTTCTCTAGACAAGATACTATGTTTATAGCAATTATTAGAAAAATTGGAAAACCAGTATTCTCTTTTAATGCCTGGGTGGAGCACAATTCTGATCCTACTGAAGCCAATGCCAAAACATCTACTGATTTAAATGAACGTGCTTCTGCCATCCTAGCTCTTTAATCAGATGCACAGCTGGAAGGAGAATCTGAAACATTATCTGAAATATAGGAGGTAGAGAAGGACACTAGGGTCTAACGCAAAACCTAGTTTAAAGGGATACTGAAAAACTTTCAAAATTAATTGCCATTGACCTGATTTACTACTGACGCAACCCATCCATGTAAATTTATATATATTAAATTTACCAATTCTAATACTTTTAAAGTGGAGGAGCTATGAAGAGTTGTTACTGAGTGATAGTTCACGGCTTTTATCCCACAACTAAGTGCCTCTCAGTCATCAGATCTGAACCACAGAGGGAAAAAAAAATAATCTCAATTTGTAGCACAGAGATAGACAATTTATGTAGCACATTAGTGTAAAATAGCAGCTGAGCTTTAAGTTCAGGCTTTAGCATGTTCTGCAGTAGTTGCCAGAAAATGCCTGCAGATCTTTGGTTCTTCAGCCAGCTTTGACAACTAAGTCAGAGCATAGTCACGAAAACCTCACTGGTTTAACACACAGTCACCTCCCACATTAACTGATGTGATTCTGCAACATTCCTGACATTTCAGAAGCACCTTTTCTACTGGATATCCCACAACAATTTCATCATTCACTGCCAGGATCTGATCTCCAACTTTGATTCGTCCATCCTGGAAACAACATGGAATAAAAAATATGAGCTCCAGATCCTACTCCAAAAAACATTTTTCATTTCCTATTTGGATTTTAAACGTTTTCACACCTTTGCTGCTGCACCATGATCTGTTAAGCTCTTGATAACTACTCCGTTAATTGTGTCTTCTTCACTAATGGCAATTCCCAAGCCTCCTTGATCCTAGGGAAAACAGAAAAATGCAGAGTAGTTAGGTATTGTTTTTATCAAAGTGTTAGAATACATTCACTAAAGACCAGTGAAACCTGCAGACTTAACGGAAGTTTAGGTTTTCACAATGCATCGATATTTTTGTTTTAAACTAATCTACTTGTGAAATAGACTTTCCAACCTACTAACAGTATATTGTCCACCAAGATAAATCTGAAAGATTTCTAAATTCAAATCCACTCCTTTGAAACCTACCAGATCAACTGTGATTCAGTCATTAAATTCATAAATAGGAGTAAGAAACAAAATACTTGGAAACTACGAACTGAGGTAAATAAAACTTCATGATACAGCTTAAATGCATTATTTGAAACCACAGAAAAAATACACACAGGAGTGGAAAATACAGAAGATGGAAAAAATACATGCTCTTCCCATGAAATTAGTAAATGTTTGTGGCAGAGTGAAATTTCCCTAATGCTTTCACCTAGAATTAAATTATCCAGATACGTTCATTTGTAGGATATTCTCCTGGTTAACAATGGAAGGCCAGATGCCTTCCAAGTCGAAAAACTTACCAAGGGCCTGCAAGTTTCTATCCTTATGTGCTCTGAATGCAACTGTTTTCTCCACGTCAATAAACAGGAGCAGCTATTTTTCCACCTTGGCATTTGGCAGCTTCACAGGTAGAGAACATCTTGCTATTTTCTCCCAGCTGCACAATTTCCACTAAACATGTATGTTGTTGGGGGAGATTTGGTGCTTAAAATCTGCCAATTCATTTACTTTGAACAACTAAGGCAATGATTTTACCTGAGGCACCATGAGCAGCTAGTTATGAAAAGTTTTGCAAATAGGACACGAGGTGACTTTCTCTAGAGACACAACGCAATTGGCCATTTTATGAGAAGTTAGAGACTCATGTCATTGCCAAAGTCAGTCATTACGTCAGGAAAACTTTGGGGTCCACTCACAGATAGGAAGAGACGACCTCTACAAATCTCTAGTTGGACTTCCAGTAATTAAGAGACAAATTTTGCTTGCCATAAGAGGGACTCCATTACAAAAAAAAAACCACAATCTAGCGAATACAAATGCGGCTGAGTAAATTTAATTTTCAGCACATACCTTAGGGAGTTCCACATACTGAATGTTTTTACATGAACTGAAGTCAGAGCAAGCACTGGAGTTTGCAGCATTGATATCAATCTAATTGAAAATTAAAACATAACAGTGAGCAACTATATTCAACATTTTGCATCAAACTAAAGTAGCGCACAAACATTTAAAGTGGGTCTGATCATTTTCTGGATTAATTTAAACTGCTATAACCCTGTTTCTGGGAATGTTAGATTTACTTCATAGTTCAGATGAACAAAAAGTAAAAAAGAATTGAGCACAGCTTTACTAAACGTACCAGCTTTACTAAAATCTCATTTGTTTTTCCCTTGGATTTCTTTTTCTTCTGTAATACTTTCTAAGCAGATAGGGCAATTCTCTCTCCAGAACAATGTTAGTATCTCAGTCAAATGAAAAGAACAAAAATTTACTTTACCTCTTGATGTTGAGGTGTCCCTGAAGCACACTGTGAAGCCTCTGCTGACTTTGCAGGGCAAACAGCCATCTGGTTTACTGCATCTTTATTTCTACAACAGATTCAGTTAAAGCATGTAGTGAGAATGTAGTGATACAGCACGGTATTTCTTAGAACAAGTTTAAGTCTAGTGCTTTCTCTTACTTTAGTTCTGGTACTCACAACGCAAATATCAAAATGGAAAACTCAAAATGTATATAACAACTAGTAAGAACTCAGTCCAAAAGCACAGCTACCTTAACAAAATTAAAAAAATAAACAAAACAGAAACCCTCTGTGCAAAACTTGAGCATATTAAAAATAAACCTTCTTAGCCAAACTTTTAACCAGAACTTACCTGATAAAGATTATTTTTACTTTAGATGGTGCACACTTGATTATTGAGGAAGCATTCTGATGAGTCCTTCCATAGAGTATTTGCCCATTTATCTACATAAAGGAAGGCAGCAATTTTTTATCAAAGTATTTTCATTCCCTTAAATTAATTTTTAAGCCTTAAAAAAAATCCATTATTCCACACCACTGGCTAAAGCAGTAATTGTATTCAAACAACAGAGTATATTGTGTCCTGCTTTCACTCTCTTCTTCCAGTAAAAAATTTTTTATAGTTTGATTTCAGACTAACACTGTCTCACTGCTAATAATGTCACTCTGAGTTATACTGGGTTGACTTGACACATCATCTGTTTCCACTCGCCACTGATTACCTCTTAACTGATGTGGTGATAAAGCAGGCCCATGGGAAATTCCAAACATAACAAATAAATGAATCGCTGATATCCAGAAATGAAACTGCTGTTTATGGAATCTCAGCCAGGCACTTTACACCTAGGAGTCTGAACACGGGTGCACCTACAGTCTGAAGACTTGACCTGACAACCATTGTCTTCATTTGGTAGAGCACTCACTAAAGTCTCTTGAAGCTCCTATGATTCAGATATGCTTGGAGGTATCAGTGCGAATTTGCAGAATAAGACCATTATTCGCAGACATTTTATTAGTTGCATTTGTTCTCAGAAATTAAATACAACAGCACAGAAGTCCACTCTAAGAAAGTGGAAATGACTGGAAAAAGACAGCTTGGACCTATGCAACGGGAAAACAAAGCAACACATACCCAGGTAGAACTTACAGAAGCAGAAAAGCAGCGAACAGCGAGCAACAGACGCAAGACACTGAAGTGAGGGCTGAGCAGAACAACAACCCCTCAGGTCCCACACAGGTTGTGTCCACCAGGCATGGTCACAGGGATACTGAGCCCTGTCACTTACACTGGAGGCTACAATCCAGATGCAGCACTGCTTTCAGGGTTTGTCATGGGCTTGAGAAGAACCTCAGTCAAGCTGTCAGCTGGGGGACAGGGCATGGCCTGCCACAGCTAAGAGACAGCTACTTGGGAACATAAGGAGCAAGATCAGATGTCTCCTCTGAGAAGAGGTTGAGGCAATCTTTTAGCATCAGTTTTCAGTTTTACACCACGGACAATAAGCAAGAAATCACACGAGAGCAGACTCAGACAAATGTGTTTCATTGTGTTCTGAGGATACTCAGCGTCTGCAACATCAAGGTTTTAAAAACAGACGTTTTAACTGATTCAAGAGAAGTGCCTGGCAGGTAACGTTGGACTCTGCAACTAACAGGTCCCTCCAGGAGACCAGGTCCACAGGGCCACAAATCCCTTAGTTTCTCTCCTAGTCTGCAACTGTCAGTCTACATCATTTACTCTCTCAGTGTCTTCCTCAAGCCTTGTTCAGTCTCATCACTCCCTCCCTGTAACACCTCCCCAGTATATCCCCAAACACCTCTACATACAGACTTCAAGTCACACAAAGCATTTCAGTGAGGGTAAAGTTACCTACTGTTATCAGAAAGAATGAGGAAAGCTATAGCAGATAATATGTCTGTAAGTATCATCAACTGAACTGCGGTATTATAAAAATATGCCTTATGTTCACACATATACTGGGAATGTTAGCTGCATGTTCAGCAGTTGTGTCCCTTCACAAAGCCACCAAAAAACAGCTTGAATGTGTCATGAGATAGAAGTCCATAATACAAACAGATCTGTTCCAGTTTCCCCAATTTAATTTCCATATTATATGTTACACAACGTCGAAATATTCTGGTATTATCAAACTTCCAGTAGACAGAGAAGTAATTAGAAAGTCTGGAGCACTCCACAGATGGTGGACTAAAGGACTTCAATATTCTTCCATGGTCTGCAATGCATTGCCCTTCCGTACATCTCCATAACCAGAAAAACTGCTGTCATGCCCCATTTTTATCCATTTTAAATACACCCCTCCCCCTTTACTCAGTACTACTACAATCAGGAAAAATATCCCAGCATACACCAGAATGAATATCTGGTAGCATACTGATGTCAGCTTGGGATAACTCAGGGATTTCGAAGTCCACTGAAGAACACCTATATTACAGCAATAATCTAATATTTTAGTGCATTTTAAGTTAGTATGTTTGGGTTTCAGCATAAATTGTAAAAACTCACCTCTAGTAACTCATCTGCAATCTGTAACCTGCCATCTTTGCCAGCTGCTCCATTTGGATCAATTCCCACTATAAAGACACTCATCCTGGATCGGTCTTTGTTACCAGCAAGACTGAGTCCCAGACCTGTCCTTCCTTTCTCCAGCTCAATCACGTGTAGCTCCCCTGGCAGGTTTCCATAGCGCTGCATGATCTTTTCTAAATGTAAAAGTGTGGGCAGCAGAGGTTGGATTTACATTAGAAAGTTTCACAAGTCACCTAGAGAGTCAAGATCAGTGTCCAGCGGGCAGTATCTGACAGAATAATCTCAAACTGGATGAGAGGCTTTTAAGTGTATTCCACACTTTCTTTTAAGCTAAGACTTAGGTGATTTATAATAATATTTCTAGTTCCTTATTCTCCTTCTAACTTCAGAAAACATTAAAACTTCTCTTAAGAAAAAGACTTTTCACACATAAAAGCAATAATCTTCCATCCAGTGACACTTTCAGGTAACAGAAGCTATCAATCACATCAATCACTGCCGTCAGTAACCTACAGCACACTGAAATTCCTCAAGTAGTCCGACATGTGAAACAGTGAATTTGGACCACAGAGGAAAACAGATTGGAGTGCAACGAAGAAGAACAAATCAGGTTTATGCTTCACCATGTGCATCTGACCAAGCACAACTGAAAGCTGACAGTAACACCCAACACCCAAACCATGACGCACACAAGAACGATGTAGTTCAAACTGGATCCTCCCGTACCTTCTGCTACGGTGCTATTTCAACACTGAGTATTTCAAACATTATCACAAAGGATGAACTTACTCCAGCTGTAACCGAACTCATCCTCCTTCTCCACATCCTCTGGGACTCTGCTAGAAGACGACTGTGCAACATCACAGCTCATTCCTGAAAATGCTGAAGGAGGAGGCAGAGGCAAGTTACAAAGCGAAGTCTTTTCTGGCTCTGAATCAGTCTGACCAAATGCCTGTGGAGAATAAGAAAAATGCAGTGGCTAAGCAGAATTAGATTGTATGGGGCAAACTAGTATACAAAAATGTCGGAATGGCAATGACTATGGCTTTCAAGTTTAAATACCAAGCAGCTGGAATTCTAAATGAGTCACATGGCACAGAAAGGCTGCAAGAGATCAAAGACAGAAACAAACACCAGGCAAGGTAAGAAATAACATTACTCCAAAATGTATTCAGAAGCAAACAGAACTCACAATAAAAGCCCAATTCAGTAAAGTTTTATGTGCCACTTTACATTTCAGAAAAAATTCTCTTATGAAGACTCAAAAGAGATTTATTTTTTTTTTAATGCCATATTTGAAAAAGAAAAGCCACAGCATATAATTTTTTCCTTTGGAAGCCAAATAGGAGGAAAGGGAAAGGAAACAAACAACTTGGTGCTTTCAAAAATGCCTCCAGAAAAAAAGAAAATAACTGTTGTATTAACTGAAAGGACAATTTAAAACCAAAGTGAAACAGATGATAGCTGAAGAAATCCACAGTAATTGGACTTTTTCAGTCTTATTTACTGGTTTCCTATAAGCTGCACAGGGGAGATCAAATAAAGGAAGATATTGATTAAATCACAAAGAAGAAAAATACTTTTGGTCTTGATGTATGTGGTCTATTCATAGTCTCAAAAAGTTAAAAGTATAAAGACATGACTGCAATATAATGGTTTAAACACTCAAATCCACAATCTAGCAAGCCTCCATTCAAGGCAGTTTCCCTGAGGAATATGGACTCTGATCAGGGATTTGGCTAAGTGTTTCTAATTTATATCATTTTGGCTTGCTGAGAGTAAACACGTAGGCAAGAAACTCGTGTCTGAATATCATCACTCCGAAGTTTACGCACGCCCAAAAGGCTCTGATACTTGGCAGATCAGCTATCGATGTGAACAGCAAAAACTAGATGAAAACCAAGTATTTTTCCAACACTAGGATTTTCAGGTGTTGCCCTAGCTTCATAGCCCTGTTCTCATCATTTCAGCTTCCATTAGCTCCATCGGCAAAAGTCTGAAAACAGTACCTCAGATGGTGTCTCTGGATCCCCAAAACAGGGATAATTTCCTCGTCAGAGGCAAGAGTGAAATGGATAACAACATACACTTTCAAGACTTCAATCTCCTTTAAATTAGAAGTGTTTTAAAAACTAGAAAGTTACCAATTTAGTCATATTGAGATTTAAGGAAGGTCCCATCTCCCAGGGAAAATGAGTTACCTTCATTCTCGCTATACTCCAAAGATTTAAAGGAAATCCAAACACCCTATTTCAACGCTCTCATTCTGCTTTTGCTTGAAAAAGATTTTCCTTTCACTCAGGAACTTGTTCTAGGAGCTTAACTAAAAGGTTGCTAAATTTCAAAAATGTGGGAAGTTTTAACATGGCAGCCTAGCCAACCATTTACATTAAAAATGCCATGTAAATGCCACACGATTTTTTTGTACCGTTGTATCATGCACATTGATAGGTGCTTCAAATCTAAGACAATGCCATCCTGCTGAGATGATACCTTGCATCACTAAACTTCATGTAGACATTATTTACAGTTTACACAAATTACACTCTAAAATATGCTAACAGTTACAGGGCAGACATAAACCTCAACCAAAGCAGCAAAATTCTAGGAAAGACATTGTTACCCATCAGAATCAAAGTAGGGTGGAAACACTACTTATTAACATTTGAAGCAATTTTTCCTAATCAAAAATTCATGTATCCACCAAAAGTTGGTGACAGACCTCCACCGTAAGGAGGGCCGAAGTGGAAAGCAGTTCTACAAACACTAATTTTTCAGAGTGCTTCCTAGAGTTTAAACCAGAAAGCTACATAACATAATGAAAAAATGAGGAAACACAGTGAGAGCAGACCAGATCAGCAAACCTTACAGTAGCCTCTGCGTTTTAAAACCAAAATTAATGTATCGCTTTAGCGGTACTCTTGGTAAATGACAGTGTCCAAGAACTCGATAAAATTAAAGAAAACATGACCAAAAGAAAAAAAAACAAAAACAAACCGAAAAATTGCTGTCAAGGACCTCTGGAAGATCTGTAAGGTGTGGATGTATGGTCACATCCTGCCAGATCATCATTTATGAACTGAAGCCGTCACAACGTGATTGACGAAAAAATGCCTCTTTCTCTACCTCTATGCACGTGAATCTGAATATGTCCAATGTTTGATGAAATGCTGAAATGTAAGTAAAAGCAAGGCTTCTTTGTGAGAAGGGTAAAAAGAGTGTTACAATGCCACTTGGGTGGAGGGGACCACCTCCTGCCTCCAGAACGCAGCCTGCCACGCGTGCACCACCCGCAGCAGAAGCTGTCCTCAGCAGTTTACACACACATAAGACTTCTGCTCCCTGAATCGGGCCACACACAGAAAATCTAAAATGCTTTCACTCATGAAATACTTCCAGTGTGCCACGGCACAGTATTTCATTTGAAACACAAAGCATCAGGCAGTGCATGAACCCATTTGTCTACCAGGGTCACTCCAATCACAGCCAAGCATATTAAAAACAGCAGCAAGCTTGGAGCAGCATCACTTCCAACAAAGGAGGCACACGCGGAGGAAGCAGCAGTATTCCAGAAGGAATCACAGGCCATGTACAAACACACAGCACACATACAGTAGGACCCACTCACTGGAATCAAGACAAACCTTGAACGGTGTGGGAGCAAAAGGGTTAGTTGGGGAACAACGGAAGGTAACCCTAACTGGATTCGATACCTCCTACAGTAACAGAAAACAGCAATCCACATGTTACAGCACCTTTGGCAACACACAGCATTATTAAAGAATAACTCGTTTTCAATTACGGGTTCATTCTGCTAACTGCAGCAACTTTATTAACTCTATTTATAAATAGACAAAAGTACTTAAGGGGTTAATAAGGATCCTGATTGAGCAACGTTTCTTACTGTACATGAACCTGAGTTCAGCAGAAGCAGACAGAGAAAACAGGAGGCCATTCTTATCTCAATGTGAAAAAAGGAATTATGCAGAAACTGCAGAAACATTAGGTTTTCTGTAAAAAAATTTTTTACAGAATTTTTTTTCAGAAATACTTTTGAAAATACAGAGAATACAAGCCATCATTTATGTTATGCTCCTACTCCCTTTCCTCAGAACTGTAACAAAGATTTCAAAAACACACATGCAATTATAGCCACGTATCATATCATAAACATTCATTGTACATCCGATACATTTGACAACATGGCAAAACAGACATGGGGCACAACCACTCCCGAGATGTAGAACCAGCTAGAAATTATTTTATTAAATCAGAAGTGCATGCACATAAGAATTAAGCCTTCATTCATTATTGTGTTAGAGGTTAACTCTGTTCCTGACACAAGTAACGTGCAGTGAGCACTAACCACAGAAAACAGAATCCAACTTTTTTCATATTTCCAAAGATGTCAGCATCTGTTCATGGTGGGTTAAAACAATTTTTAAGAAGCAGAGGGAAAATATTTTCAGCATCATAAAATGAAAGCTGCCAATATTTTTTTTTTTTTTCATGCAAAAAGAAAAAAAAAAAGAGATTTAAAAGCTGGAAAGTCCTAACCACATAAAAAGAAAATGTGGAACACAGCAGCAAAACTCTTCAGGCTGATGAGAGTTACTTTCAGGTGGACATTTTAACATATACCGCAGGGACTGATCTCACAGTTGAGAACCTTCTCCTTCAGTAGTTCTGATTAGATCAAATTTAGTGGCTACGAGTAATGGATCTGGTAATTTTTAACTTCTTCAAAACTCCTCCATGTGCGTGTGTGTCTGTCTTTTTAATTCATTACACAGAGTTTCCACTCCCATCAGCACAATATTTTACGCAAATTTACGCAAAATCCACAGAGACACTAACAGCAAAGAAGCACACATATAACTTTTGGTGAGTCAAAAGCTGACAGCGTGTCATCATCCAACCTTGCCAGTGTTGAACTGAGAAGAATCAGCAAATGGGTTAGTGCTGCTGAAGACAGCTGGCCTACAGAAAAGACTGTTCTGCGGGAAAGGCAGGGAAGGGTTCTAAAAGGAAAGCATAATAGAAACTAAGCAAAAACATTTTTAAATGAACCCCTCGTGACTCATTAAACAAAATATACTTTTCAGCAGTTTGTGCTAACCAAAGTGCTTCCTCCACTTTGCTACGGACGTGTGAAGGTAAGCAAAACTGTATTTACCCTGTGTTTGCATCAGCTATGTTTAGCAGAGTGTGGAGGAAAAGCATGGATCCTCATACCTGTTCTAGCCCACAAAGTGCATAAAGTGCAGAATTCAGCAGCATGAACAACAGAAAATCCACTTGCTGTGCTACTTGTACAATTTTATCCAAGCACCTCAGTGTACGGGATACTCTTACAAATTAGCAAAGTATAAAATGGTGGATTTCTGGATTAGAATAAACACAATTCTTTGTAATAACGTAGTAGGTTTAGTTTTATTTTGAAAACCACAGACTAATTCTCATAAATTGATTTACCTCTTTTGGTAACACATTCACTGTGTGTTTCACAAAAGAGAAGGTTTTGTAGTATTAGGCATCTCTAAACATATTTCATATCTAATAATAACTTTTACAGATCACTTTGTATGTGTGTACATGCATCTATAATTCTCTGAATTTATCCTTTAATGAAACTAAATTATCTGGTCTTAAATAATACAAGGTACTTCTTTACTATTACTTAACACAAAGAAAGTTTTCCTGGTTTTTAGCAAAATTAGAGGATTTTAAAAATAAATTTTTGTATATATAAATCCAACCATTTATATATCTTACGTAGTTTTTGTACTCTATTTTGAGATCAGAACCTGTTTAATAAAGAGAGGACAGCTCTGATTTTGCATACTATGTTGGAAACACTGTTCAATGTATACTTAAAAGTAATTTCTACACCAGGGGTATCCATCTGGCAACTGCTTAAATGTCTTAGGGCTGGAAAACAAGAAGCATAAGTGGAAAGGAATGTGAAAGGCTTGAAGCATCATCTGATACATTTATATCACACTAATTTAATCTAGATATACGTTGCTGTTTAAAAATTTTCTTAAGAGGTTTTGGTTTTTTTTTTAACGCTCCTGGAAATAGAAAATGTATCCCTAAAGGTTAATTCTCAAATATCATTTTCAAAAGAAAAAGTAATGTAATTTGGTAAGAAAACATATGTCTTGGTTCTACAATATCTTCAGCAATGAGAAAGTAGAGCTGAGCATGAACGGTTTCTTCACTGGCAAGTCACTCAAAGTCAACAGGCAGTTTCTCTACAGTTCAACAAGACTTTCTGTTCACACGTGTGATTAACACTTGATTTTGTTGTTTATAAAGAGAAGTTTGAGAAAAGTGATTTGCCAGTGCAATGATCCTATTGCACTTTAATTATTACATTTGTCGCCTGTATAAAATTTTAAATTGTATCTTGATGAAATTTTAAGCAACTAAAATAAGATTCACAAACATTTTGTATATAAACGGTGAAATCCTAGTAAAAGACAATACAAAATATCAGCCACAGCAATTCAAAATCTTGCCTTTCGTATTCTGTCATAGCACCTAAAACATTACTGCTAGCTCAAATTCTAACCCAGGCAACAGCATTGACTACCATGATAAAATATGGAGCGCTTGAGTTTGCCTAAACAGTCAGGTTTTAAATAGTGTGCATGAAGCACGCTTTCTTGCAGAATCTAAGACAAGAAAAGCAAATGCTAAAATAAAGGGTATTTTTCCTCTTACTGCTTTTTGCAAAACAAACCCGAAAATAACAGGCTTTATTTTAACTTTTTTTTGTTTGTTTGAGGTTTTGTGGTTTTTTTTCCCCAACTAACTTGTATTCAGCATTTTATTAATGTACCCAGGATGCTAAGGTATCAGAAAATAGCAAGCTGTAATCCTACATGTTATCTGGGACCACAACCATGCCGACAGATTACTTTTTACTCAGAAATACTCAGAGCAGTATCAGTATGAAACACAGATTTGATGCACAACTGCATGCTAGCAAAACTACCAGCTAGTTTTTCACAACCCATCTGCATTATTCGGGCTATTCTGGAGTACACTCAGGATCTCTTTAACCACTACAGCAGCCTGAAAGAAGAAAGCAAACGGGAAGAAACCGACTCATTAGCAACATGTCACCTGAAGCTGACTGCCTTGCCAAATACAAAGTGGTACCACATTAAATACAGCTGCTGTGCGCATGGGTGACTGCACACAAATGACTGCACACAAATGGAGGCAGGACGTTCCTGTGTAAGATCTTATTATAAAATACAGATTCAAGTTTCAAAAGATGAAGACAATAAACATAATGCCATTTACAAAGATCACAACACAAAGCACGTGTACAGTAAGAGCATTTGCAACGTTTCTGCTTACAGAGAAACAAAGGTTTGTTAATGAACAATCAAGAAATAACCAACAAGCTTACTAATTGAAAAATAAAGAGAACAAAGAACTACAATTAAAAACAGCAACGGAGCATTCTCTAAATAAAACAAAGTTGTGATAAAGTAATGGCATCATTCTCATCCCAAACTGGCCTGAACATTCAGCAGTGGCAATTTTGCTCACATCACAGCAAACGCAAAAGCCTTACTTTGGTAGCTTGGGTATCAATAACCAGCATTCAACAGAGCTTTTCATGCAACTTTACCTTAGGTGACTGATGATAAAATGGGTTAGTAGTTTTCTGCCCACAGGGAGCAGAGGCTGAAGAAGGGCTATAAAGAGACTCTGGCTGGGGAACAAGAGTTATGAGACAACTAGTAAATAAACATGCAGCTTACACAGACTCTACAATGAGGAAGTTTAGTCTATAGTGATGCAAGCAACTTATATCAAAGCTCAGTAGCTTTTGTCTGCAATGTCCATGCAGCTTAGTGACGGAAAACTTCCGTGTACTTCTAGGTCCTTTCATTAATGTCCCATGAATTTTTTAACAGGTGCTGTATTTCTGCATGCGCTCCTCAGACATGCTGTCAATCTCTAAAGAGCTGGGTTTAGTTAAGACTCCTACTCTGCCCCTCAACAAATTATCTTTCTTGAGGCTTTTCAAAATAGTTTGAGGACGGCGTGCTGGAGGGTAATTCCAAATCCAAATCGATTTCATTCTAAATGGAAATAATACTTAAATCAAATCTTTGTTCCTAAAATAGCTGAGATGGAACTTTCAGGATTAACATCCCCTTCCCAAACACCACCACCTTGAACATTTGTTTCATCTATTACTATGTATTACATCTCTTCTCGTATTCTTTATGCTTACCCTTGGTCTGTTTATAATGCTCTGTACCATAAAGACTACAGGATTGCCTGCCTTCCGTATGGCTTCCACAGCTTGCTCATGGCTGGCATCTCTGAGGTCAATTCCATCCACCTGTAATTGGAAGGCCTCATCTTAACATTGCAAGAAACTACAAGAATCATGAGTCAGCTTTGAGTTTTGGTTAGGGAAGTTTGACTAAAACCTAAGCCCAAACCTCCATGACTGGTGGAAAGGTTTTTATTGACTTGGCCTGAGGTACCTCACACACAGGTATGAGATTCCCAAAAGCACTGAAAGGACATCAAATAAATATTCTCCATCGTTTTAAAACATTTCAATGTTCCATTTCAACATGGCTCAGGCTCCACACGTTTTCCCACAGGCAACATAATAGAAGAGGTATGATAATAAGAAGAGATCAGGCAATATAAAAGAGAGCAGTAGCATTTGCCAAATACTGCTTCCTGTAAATCTTATCTCGGAATAACCTACCTCCCAGGACTTTGAGATTTACAAACTGAAACTTGTTAGGTGCTGGAGGGTCTTTCATTATGTCAGTAAAGTGTGTTTTTTCCCTTTCTTCTCATTCTTTTTTTTTTTTTTTTTTTAATAAAGAAAGGCAAGATAAGACCAATTTTAGCTACTAGACACTTTTCCCAGAAGCTAATTTTTAAGGTTGAGAGCTGAAAAGCTTTCTCTCTTCTAGAAGAAAGCATTTACAAAGGATGGCTAAGGACAAATTTTTGCCTGGTTGTTTTTCTGCATGCCTTCATCTGCACTGGTGTGTAAAACAATTTGTCTTGCAATCCAGGTAGAACAATGTTATGGTGAGGTTAGCATCAGTAAAGCATTCTCACAACGACCACAATAAAAGCTGGAAGCTAACACAGAAATGTTATTTGTTAGTGGCAATCCTTGCACACGAGTTATATAATGAGGACTACCCCTATCATTTTGTCTAACTCTACCTTAAACTTAACCATCCAATGTAAATAAAGAGAGAACGAAAACAGTCTGAGAGAAAATTCTAAACCCATGAGGAACTGAACAGTAACACTAGGGCTCTCCGACTCCCCAAGTCTCAAATACTGTATGCACTAGTAGAAAAGCCTAGACACACCACAACTCCAGAAATGGAAATAATCCGTTCAGAAACAGTCACCTTAACACGGCATTAGTTACTAGATTTCGCTCACCCACTTCAACTTCTGCAAGCATCATTGTCAGACAATCACAATCGCTGCATTCCTAAAAATCCAGGTATTCAGATATAATGAATGTTTCTTAACTTCGTGGCCATCAAGCAGAATTCCACCTCCCAACTTGTCCTGCACTGGAAACTCTTCCATCCTGTTGCAGAAAGTGCTACCTATATGACGGCATTAACTCAAGACGCTTTTTATGGATCTTGTGGCAGATGGTGAACCGTGGTTTAAGTATCACCTCGTAAAGCCAGCCCAGTCCGATCCAGGGGAAGCACCACCACCTCCATCACCCTGCCTGTTATGTTCTTATCGACGGACAGTCAGCTAAGGACATCTAGCAGGGTGAAAAGGAGTCCAGTTCCTAATGCCCTGACACTAGAGACGGGGTAACGTCTGACTTACTGTTAATCATCACAGGAAAGACACACTCTTTTCAGTATGTTTTTTTTCAAAATCTTTAAATGAGAAAGCAGAAGTGGCTGCATGAGCACAGGACTGGCTAAGCAGAAGAGAAATCTAGGTGAATTCTTCCCTTCAAAACACCATTGGCTACCCTATCTTCAGGCACGGGCACAATGCTCTTAACTTCCCCC